GAGAGAGAGAGAGAGAGAGAGAGAGAGAGAGAGAGAGAGAGAGAGAGAGAGAGAGAGAGAGAGAGAGAGAGAGAGAGAAGCTTACTATGAACATGCCTCCTGGTGTTGCCGTAAAAGAAGGAGACCCCACGCACCCCTTGATTCACGTACTAGTTGTTACTAACACCATGACTGCTGGCCTTGGAAGGTGGTATCGACCAGGGAGAGACTTCGTACATGGTGGAGGTGTTGTTGGGAGGAGAGAGCGGACGGTGACCTCCTGAGGACTCTGAGGACGAAATCCTGCAGTTTGCAGATGGAGAAGACATTCCGTCTGTTGACCGTTATCTCGAGGTGTTTTTCTTCTCCCATGCTTCTTCTTTTCTTTTTTTTTCTTCTTCTTCGTCGTCGTCTTCTTCTTCGTCTGTCTGCCTGCTCAACTTTATTGCTATCATAATCTGTTTGTGAAGTTTGTGGGGGGTTATCATATTTGAGCATTGGGATGATGATGATGATGATGATGATGAGGAGGAGGAGGAGGTCGGTGGTGACGATGAGAAATTAATTTGTTAATCATGTTAGCTTCCAAAGTAGTCCTGACTGCGGACGTAATTGCAGCAGGTCCATTACTACACAATCTGATGATGTGCCAAAGGACTGATGTCGCCCGACTCGCCATCATCATTTGCCAAATTGAAAAAAATGATTTGTTGGTGCGAGTTCTGACTCGGACTTTGTTGCGCTGCTCGTGATTGGTTGGTTGTGTCACTTGTGTGTGTATTTGCTTCTTGGATGCCCCTGAATGATGCGTTTGTGTCGGCTTCATTCGTTGACTTGAATCGCGTTTCGCATTTCCCAGGTGTCTGTGTTGGCATTCCACTCTCAAGTTTGCTGCAATATGATGATGATGAATTTGGTACTGGGAGCAACAGAGCTCTCCTCCTTGCACATACAAAGGATGACCCAGAATCCCAGCAGATGTGGGGCTGGTCACACCAGTCTTCCTCCTTCGCTGACCGTCTTCGAGCTCGATCCTTCGGTCATCCACGCCTTGTACTTCGGTTCATCGATCGATGTATGGCTGCTTCACTCCCCCCGCCTCACAAAGTTCTCTATTAATTTTCCCGCAGGTGTGTGCGACTCACTTCTGGAACGGATTTTGACTGTGTGTGTTATGCACTGCCACAACCTTCAGTCACTTTTCATCAACTGCGGCCTGGCCCTTCAGCAGATCTGCTCGCATGCGCTGCTGGACTGCAAGCCGTCGGAAAGTGTGCGGACACTCTATTTGCGTGGCGTGTTTCATTTAGCTACAACAACCACCCCGCAGATCTCACTCGCCCCTCTTGCAGCCGCCGTAGTGACAGCAGACGCATCGCCCGACAGGGTGGAATTCTTGTTGCGCCTTTTCGCTAACCTAGAGGACCTGGAATTGCACCCGCAGGACATGCGAATCCCCGCCGTGAGGTCGTCAACTCTACGACGACTGGTTATCATATCGGGCCAATTTGCAAGTAATTCTCGGTCCACGATCGTGGTCCAATGCCAAGGACTCCAGGACCTCCATCTCGCAAACTTTGCCGACATTGACCTTCAACTTCAACTGGAAGGGAGTGGCAGTTCCACGAACTCTGTGCCGGAGATGGGCACACTGGCAATCGAAAGCGTCTCCTTCCAGGGTCTCATGAGCAGAGTGCAAGGAGAATGGCATACTGCGGAGTCGTTTCTGAAGCTCTGCAATATCAAGCACTTGGCAGTTTCCTCTGCGAAGCCTGAACTTCGCTCTTGGACTTTCAACGACTTGAAGGAGGCCGTCTTGGACAAGGAGACGATTCTATGGGTTCTGCAACACTCGCAAGGAACACTGGAAACTTGCATTTGGGATTTAGACATAGGCTGTTGCGACCCTTATAGTATGACGCATGGGTGGAGCTGCAGCGATCCGGATTATCATCGAAATAATACGCACGCAGATGTGCGTTGGGAGGAGCGGAACTTGAACGAAAGACCCGGAGAAGGAGGTTGGGGTGATGGATGGGCTTGGGGCGATGGTTGGCCGCGTGGTGGTTGGGGCAATGTTGGTAATGAGGGTGAAGGAGGACAGCGAAACGATCGAGGCCGCTGGGGACAAGTCGATGAAATTCCTGTTCTCTATAATGCTGCTCCCTCTGGCAGAATTCCACTTTGTAGGGGCGCTGGATCAGGCGATGGTCGTGTTGGATTAGGCGATGGTCGCGCTGCTGGATTAGGCGATGGTCGCGCTGGATTAGGCGATGGTCGTGCTGGATTAGGCGACGGTCGTGCTGCATTAGGCGATGGTCGCGATGGTTGGGCTGTGTTGGGGGGCCGCTATGGTTGGGCCAATGATGGTTGGGGCAATGATGGGGGGGTGCAGGAAGGGCGCAGAAACGGTTGGGGATGGGGAGGGGAGGATCGCAACTATGACCCCTTTCATCGCGCTCGCCGCGACAGAAGGAATTTACGAGGCAATAGAGGTAGAGAAAGGCGCAATGGGTGGGGCCGACAGTACGATCTCAACAGGAACGAAAACTATTGGCAGGGGGGGGGGGGGGGCGGACAGGACTTCCTCGACAGACACGAACACAGGAATGGCGTCCGCGCTGATGGCCACCATAATCATGCAGGCAGAGGGTCTAATGCTGCAGCCGATCGATTCTACAAGTTTTGTAAAGGCTGTTCTAAGTCGTTGTGGAGAGATTTGACATCATCGGTTGAGCTGAAAGCGCTGAGGTGTTTTGAGATCCGGAGGCCATCCGTGGTCAGGGGTTGGGAAGACTTTGTTGCTGCCAGCAGTGCAGTAGGTAATGGCCAGGAATCTATATGTTGCCCTCATGGGCCATCATCATCATCATCATCAGCAGCAGCAGCAGCAGCAGCAGCAGCAGGATCAACAGTGGAACCTTCGTTGGTCGGTTTCCGTTTTGCACCCAAGTTGGAGGTACTAAAACTCTTTGTGGATGAAGTAACAACGAGGACGCTCGCTTTGATTGACAGGTTGTCGCACGACTGCACCTCTCTGACAACCTTGACAGTCAAAACGAGGTCATCGGCAATCAGCACTCCCATCGTCAGTCAGTTGCTGAATCTACAGGTGTGTCCAGCAGTTAAGACGAAGATCGTCGTGGAGAATGGGTGGTAGAGTCCCGGTGACGGAGGTGAGGAGAGCGAGGACGTCCGAGTGAAACAAGCCGCCAGGCAGCGTTGACGGAGTGATTGCCACACAGGGGACACAGCTAGTAAAAGTCTGATGCCCTTCGAATTGCGCTATGAGTGTGCGCCTGACTCCAAATGCAGCGATTCTCGCCAAGCGCATGCTGCTGAATGATAGACGAGTGCCGATCATGAGTTGATTGAATCGCGATCCAGTCAGACGAGGAAGCTAGTACCAGGGGCTGCTTTGCCCCTGCACCGTCTCTGCTATGTTTCCTCGGAGGCTGTGGCCATCCTCCTGTTCTACTTCCCCCCTTCCAGATCTGCTTCTGTGCTCTCGCTACCGTGCTGCTTCAGTGTTCCTTCCATGTTCCTTTTCCGATTTTCCGTGCCCTTCTTTCTCGATTGACAGAATCACTTCCATGCAGTGTTTCTTCCACGGAACCGGAGACTATGGTGGACCATGCCCACGACGCACACATCGTGAGTAAGGAAGCCAGAAACCAGGCCTTGAGCGGCAGGACAGCAGTAGATAGACCATTAGTACACATAATCATTTGGCGCCGTACACCGGCACGCGCGTGCAAGAGAGAGAGAGAGAGAGAGAGAGAGAGAGAGAGAGAGAGAGAGAGAGAGAGAGAGAGCATCACTTCTGTGTGGTGATTCTGAGAGAGAGAGAGAGAGAGAATCACACTTCTGTGCGGTGATTCTTCCACGGAACCAAAGATGGTAGTGGACCATGTCACATGGGGTGTCCTTGGGGATGAGGAGGTGTACAAAGGCATGGTTAGAGATCTCAGATCATACATTTTGAGGGGCATGCGACTCTATGACTTTCACTACCGTGAAAACTTACATCGCTACAGACAGTTCCCCATTTTGTGACCGTCTTCGCCTTCCGGCCGCCCCGTCAAAATAGTTGTATCTGTGGAAACTTTCACTCCAGATACAGTGATAATGACCGTGCCTCAGAAATGGCTGCGTGCAATCAAGATGAGACTAAGGTGTCTTTCTTCTTTACCATGCATGCCTGTGGGTGGATGGTACATTTCAAATTTTCTATGTCCTCTATGCGGCTGTCAGAAAACTTAGGTAATGTGTTCCAAATTCCAATTATCATCCTGATTCATTTTGTATATGGGACGCTGGACCCGTTTTCCGGCAGGTGGTGGTCCCCACCTAGAGATGGAGCCTCTCCCTCTCTCTCTCTCTAAAAAAAAAAAAAAAAAAAAAAAAAAAAAAAAAAAAAAAAAAAAAAGAATTATTCGCTTAGGTTAGGCCCGACCTACGCTTCGTCTATATACCAACGAGCGAGTGAGGGAGGTGGTTTTCATTGGGTGACTTACACGGGGAAGCAGTCGGAGGATAGGAGGATGGTGGGTCATTCCTGTACTATGCGAAATGTAAGAGGCTGTTGGCGGGCATCCCAACCGACATGTATATAGAGGCCCTTGGGTTAATTCACCATTTTTTTGAAGTTTTTTTTTCTATATCTTGCTCACTATGTGAAATGTAAGGCTGTTGGGGGGCCCTCGAGGGTCAGATACCCAATTGGCATGTATAAAGGCACTTGGGGGTTAATTCACCATTTTTTCTATATCTTGTTCACTTGCTCTTCTATGTGAAATAGAAGACTGTTGAGGGCCACATCCGGCCCATCCCAACCGACATGTATAAAGTACTACAAACGCACTTGTGTTAATTCACCGATTTTTTACATCTTCCTCGCTGGGACGAAGAAGGCCAGAGAAGGGTGTTCCTTTTTGTCTTTTTCTGAGGATGCTTGCGAAGTGGAGTCACGTTCGAATCAAAGCGACGAAAAATAAACGGAATTTGGTTTTCAATTTTTCGTTGTTTGAGAGTGTGGCACTTCACCGACTGATAATGGAGAAAGCTACAGGTCGGGACCACATTCCTCCATTTTATTGCAGAGGTGTGGTTGAGAAAATTTTGGGATCTTACACTACAGGTTATAC